GAAGGAAACCAAAGCTGGAAGGCTGAGGTCACTGAATAGAGCATTCATCATCTTCTGAGTATAAGGATATCGAGTTTAGAATTTTAATTCCCCCCAGGTTAGAGGGAATTGCCAAACACCTTGGAATTTCCACTAAAACCCCTGAAGATTCATGCTTTAGGAATAAAGACTATATGCTAGGACTAAGAGAAAAATGAAACAGACCAACCTTAACAAAGCCTAGAGCTCAGTTTCCCTGCTACCTGGCAGTTAACTACCTGCTGGGATAAATTTAAGTACCATTTGGAGAAAGAAAATAAAATCTAAAGCCTCTCCAACATATTCACGGTATTCATATGCCATCAGTAATTCCTTGACATGCAAAGAAATAAGAAAATGTGACCAAGAGTCATATGAAAATCAGCCAATATAAACAAATTAATAGCTGACCTAGATATTGAAATTGGCAGACAGGGACTTCAAAATTACTATGTGAAATCTGTTAATTCATTTTCCTTGGTGGCTAAGATGGTGAAGAATCTGCCTGCAGTGCAGGAGACCCAGGTTCCATGCTTGGGTCAGGAAGATCCCCTGCATAGAGGATTGGCTACCCATTCCAGTGTTCTTGCCTGTAGGATTGCATGGACAGAGGAGCCTGGCGGGCTGCAGTTGGACACGGCTGAGTGAATGACACACAAAACATGGCAATAGGTTAAAATGTGAGAAGTTTCAGGAGTGATATGAAAACTATAAAAAAAATGAAAATCATAAGGACTGAAAAAACAAAATATCTAAAATTTTTTTTTTAATTCTGTGGAACAAATTGTACATTTAACACAACTTGGTAATAAAAAGACAATAAAAATTAGCAGAAGACATGGACAGACACTTCAAAAAAGAATATATGTAAATGGCCAGTAAGAACTTGACAAGATACTTAACACCGTTAATTACCAGGGGAATTAAAACTGAAATCACGAGTTACCTCTTTATGTCTGTTAAGATTGCTAAAATTGAAAAGGCTGAAAACACCAAATACTGCCAAAGTTTGAACTCTCCTACATTGCTGGGGGTATATGGAAACTGGTATAATCACTCGGGAAAATTATATATTAACTCTTTATAAAGTAAAACATATACTAGATCAGCAGTTTTATTCACAGGTATTTGGCCAATGGAAAGAAAAACATATAGCCACAAAACAAAGATTTATTCATTATAGCTAAAAATATAAATACTCTAATGCCCACTCACAGATAAATGGATAAAAAAATGTTATATTCAACAATGGGATATTACTCAGGAATGAAAAGGAATGAAATGTTAATACCTACAACAACACAGATGAATCTAAAAAACATACTGAGTGAAGGAAGCTAGCCCCCTCCACCATCTCTTATATGAAGTTTGAGATTATATAACAAAACTTAGCTTAGGTGACTGAAGTTGGAACATGAGGTCCCTCTGGGTGGCAAGAGGGGAATTCGATGGAAAAGATACAGGAAAACTTTTCTAAGCTGTATTGGCATTATTACTCCATAAGTGTATATACATTTTTAAAACTCATCAAAACTGCACTTCAGATCTGTGCCTTTGATTGCATGTTGCATGTACATTGTAATTCATAGAATTGATGAGAATTAAAAGTAACATAACATGGTGTTTCAATATGCCACATGCAAGAACTGAGGTCAGGCTGCCTGGTTTCAAGTTTCAAAGGCAGTGAACAGTAGCGGTTAATAGCATGGTTGCTCCATCAGACAGAACTGGAGTTTTGAATCACATTGCCAGTATTTTGTGATTTTGTGAACGTAGGCAACTTACTAGCCTCCTTTAATCTCCCATTAAATGGAGATTATAAAATTGGTATGTACTTTATGAGTGTCCTTAGTATAGTGCCTGGCATGTGGATGCACTCAATACATTTAAGCTGTAGTAATTATTATTAAATAGCTCTTCGGCTAGACTTTCATTTCCCTAATGCAGTCATGAATGCTGGTATAACCCTGAAGATTTTGCGAATTAGATATTTACAAACTGCATTTTCTGCAATCTAAATAATGCAGCAGTATTTAACAGCATATGATTAAGTACACTATCAAATCCTATTTTAGTTATCCATTTCAAACTAAGTAACTAATGATCTCTTTGCCAAGAAAAAAATATTCACATAGTCACTTTAAAATATTTTTCTTGATGCTCTTATAAAAAAATTTAAACATAGAAAAATTCGAACCTAATTTTTTCTTAATAGTTTCACCTTCTGTTTCACATTCCATGATCACTGTTGATATTTTGGTATATATCTTTCTAGTACATGTGTACTATGCATGTAAATGTGGGTGTGTATGTATGTGTGTTTGTATTACCTTTGTAAACAAAATTGTGACTATACATAAAAAATAGATAAAATATATATGTTTAAAAAATAGACACAATATGTTGTATATGTATCACATATTGTATGTATTTTTTAAACCTGGTATTTCATTTAGAAATCTTTTCATATTTAAGACTGACTACTTTGCCAGTCTAGTCAAGGCTGTGGTTTTTCCAGTGGTCATGTATGGATGTGAGAGTTGGACTGTGCAGAAAGCTGAGTGCCAAAGAATTGATGCTTTTGAACTGTGGTGTTGGAGAAGACTCTCGAGAGTCCCTTGGACTGCAAGGAGACCCAACCAGTCCATCCTAAAGGAGATCAGTCCTGTGTGTTCATTGGAAGAACTGATGCTGAAGCTGAAACTCCAGTACTTTGGTCACCTCATGCGAAGAGTTGACTCATTGGAAAAGACCCTGATGCTGGGAGGGATTGGGGGCAGGAGGAGAAGGGGGCAACAGAGGATGAGATGGTTGGATGGCATCACCAACTCGATGGACATGTGTTTGAATGAACTCTGGGAGTTTGTGATGGACAGGGAGACCTGGCATGCTGTGATTCATGGGGTTGCAAAGAGTCAGACACGACTGAGTGACTGAACTGAACTGAACTGTTCTTTTTAACAACTATATAATAGTTCACAAAGTAAAACTGCTATGTGAAAGAGTGAACAAAACTTATGAGCTTTTTTTTTTTAAGAGAAAAATTATATATGTAAGTGTGTGTGAATAATCAGCAAAAGAGCAACAAATATTGGACTGCTGAAGAATTCTCTAGGTGGGAGGGTAAATACTGCTGCTGCTAAGTCGCTTCAGTCGTGTCCGACTCTGTGCGACCCCATAGACAGCAGCCCACCAGGGTCCCCCGTCCCTGGGATTCTCCAGGCAAGAGTACTGAAGTGGGTTGCCATTGCCTTCTCCAGGGAGGGTAAATAGTAGTATTATTCTTGCTAATCTGTATTTTTCTTTTTTTATATAAGAATAATAGTTATTTAAAAATTTACACAAAACTTCCACCTAAGGAGCTGAAGATAATATTAGTTACTAGCGTTAACGGGGCATATAATGTTATATTATTCAAATTCCATGCATAACTCTGTTAGATACAGCCATTCATGACACTGATTTCTAAGGAAACTGGGACTTGAGCAGCATATGGCTGGTAAAGGTAGAGTATGGATTTGAACTAGGTTTTCTGAAGCACTGTAGCATAGCGTTCATTTTGCTGTCAGGGTCTTTGAGGTTCAGTTTTATTCTCAGATTTTCCAGGTCTGCAAACAGTGATGTAGGAAAGCCCAGATGAGCTTGTTTCCCTAAGAGCCTTGTTCAGCCAAAGCATGTTTCCTTTTCAATCAGTGATAGCAAAAGCCACTTGGTCATTTAGACAAGTTACATGCCCCTCAGTGAAAAATTTCCCATTCAATATCTAGTTTCCTCTCAAAATAATGATAATGGTAGACAATGATCCGTTACATGGTGTGGCGGACTATGAACTACTGCACTTGTGTGCTCAGTAGCTCGGCCGTATCCAACTCTTTGTGACCCCAAGACTGTAGCCCTCCAGGCTCCCTTGGAAATGGGATTTTCCAGGCAAGAATACTGGAGTGGGTTGCCATTTCCTTCTTTAGTTATTATCGGACCACTAAAGTCTGGTCTGTTTTCACAGCCCAGATTACTATTACTCTCTCTCTCTCTCTCAACCCTTCGTTTCAGTCTTGCATTTCCTTTCTGAGTGAGGAACTCACTCACTCACAGCTAGATTATTTGCATTTGGTCTTAGACCCCTACCTATGCGCTTGCCCCTAATCTAGTCAAACGAAGCTTTAATTTCCAGTGGCATCAGATGTGTGTTTTCAGAAGGTAGCTCTCGTTGTGAAGGGCCGTGATGAAGCGGGGCGAGGTGAGATTCAGAGAGCTGGTGAGACCCGGGCCTGGGCAGGAGCATAGCCTCTTCTGTGAGCAGAGCTCGAGTAGGAGCTTGCGGAGGGTCTCCTTTCCATGTCAAGACAGTGAGGGGCGCCCTTCTAGGCGCTTTTCCAGACGCGATCCACTCTTGCCCACCATCTAGCCTCTAGATAGCCCACGGATACCTCTGTACCTGTGCCGTGCGGTTGAGAAGGGAAGGAACTTAGAGGTCTGGGTCTTTCTTCCACAGCTTTACTGTCTCAGTTCTGCCACGATGGCAAATGTTCCCAAGTACCTTTTTTTCACTTGCTTCTTGACCTGTTTTCTTCTATAACCTGTGGTTTACTGGAGGCAACACTTAACCACCTTGGAGACAGAATCAGTAGCATTTCTCCCCAATCCTGTGTTTAGGTGACATGGAGTTGATAGCTTGAAATGGACATGGTGGGAGTATTTACCCAATTGAAGCTGGAACAGACCACAAATCCAGGCTGCACTACCTGCTAAGGATCCTGGTGTTTAACGTTAAACTGCTTCTGCCGACCACACAAACCGGAGACAGAGAGAGAACTGGAGAGAGGAGAAAATGGTGTTTAAGGGGCTGAACACCATGGGTTTCCTTCCCCAGGGCTGTGGTGATTTCTAAGTGGAAAAACGAGTTCCTTGGCTATCCCTGTCCCAGGTTGTGCCTTTATTTCCAAAAGAGCAAACAGGGGCTAACTTTTCTCTCTCTCCTGCAGTGGATGGCTGTATTCACAGGGCAGCTGGGCCCTGTCTGCTTGCTGAGTGTCGGAACCTGAACGGCTGTGACACTGGACATGCAAAGATCACGTGTGGCTATGACCTGCCTGCAAAATGTGAGTTCAGCTCTTTTGAGTACTGTTTCTAAATCAGATGAGCACTCTTGTTTTATTCCTCAGGTGGGTAACTGGAGGAGGAAATGGTAGTGGTGGTGTTTAATTAAATGTGCTTGTATTGAGATTTTGTACATGGTAATGAAATGTGTTTTTTTAGTACATCTCCAAATATATATATGTATATATATATGTTTAATTGTAGATGATTTTTGTTCAGATCCTCAACAAGGTGTCTCTGAAACAGAAAAATAAAAATAGGAGCAAAATATACCTTACAGTATTTAAATGCTGTGGAGTGACAGCTTCTAGAAATGATGCCAATTTCTTATTCCTTGTTCAGGTTTCTTGATTGTGGATGTGTTTAGAGCAGAGGAGATCAAAGTGATGTATTGTGTTTTCAGCTGCCATGGAAAGGCTGATTGGCAATTACAGCCAAGGCATCTGTCACGCTTGGCTTTCAGGAAAAGCCAATGGAATGTGGTTGTCAGAGTGAGAATGTATTTGCTCTTTAGAATGTGGAATGGTCAAAATTTCCATTATATTTGAATGGAGAGAGGTATTGCATTTGATTGACCTTGTTGCTTAGTCGTTTAGCCAACTGTGTAGGGTGATGTGGAATAAAAAATGCTGAAAGAGAAGCTGGTTAAAGGCACAGATTTTTTGTATCACATAATCTTCGGGGCTTGGGGTGGAGGTAGAGGGTTTCATTGTACCATTAAGCTGTGCACTGGTCTGGAAATTGGGAAACCAATTGGTTGTTTATTCCGTTCACCTGCTTTTTAAGAGAACCTGGTGAATGCTTTTTTTGTGGGGGGCAAAAGTGAAGTTGATTTCTTTTTTCTGTTTTAATCGTGGAGAATATGTGACTAAAAAGTTATAACACAACCTTTAGACTCTATAGACTAGTTATAGGAATGAATTTGTCATGGGTGTGTGTGAATGGTGAGATCAAGTGTGTTATATTCTTAAGACTGAAGTATAAATTTGAGGATTTTTAGTGAGTAGTAATATATTAAAATGGTATTCTTTGTAGAAATTACAATACTGCATTCTGGATTCCTCACATGTATTGCTAGTGAAACTACGTCTGCTACATACTGTTTAATTTTTCCTTTAATGGCTTTTCCTTTTCCCTTTCTTGTTAGTGTTTTTATCTTGTGTGAAAGAGTCAAATCATGGGCCAACGGCCCTCACTCCTGCTTGGAAAGTATATTTATGTCAGATAAGTCCTCTGTGTGCAGTGGTGTTGAGAGCACTCCCTCTTACTCAGAGGCCCTGAGTATTAAAGGAGATTTCCCTTTCCAGGATGACAGGATTCCCTATTTACCAATATTGGTCATTCTTCCTTCTTACCACCATACTACCTTTATGATATAGTCGACCGATTCCACCCTGAGGATCAGCAGATTATTGATGATTGTCAGACTGGTGACTGGTGTCCTTAAACCAATGAATAACTGTAGTCTCCTATTGATTCAGTACTTTCTTTCTTATAAGTTAAAGCACAAATCAAAAGTTCTTCAGCTCTGAGATTTCTGAAGACAGCCTCAGAATCATTAACTATGACCAGATTAAATGGTGACTCTGTTTTATGGATAGACACCATGATCATTTTGTTTCATGTGCTTGCTCCTGTCTGAAATCCCTCTCTCTGAGCTTCCTTGATTGTCATTCAGCTCAGTTCAGGGTTGTTGAAGGCTTCTAAACACCAGACACTGAGGTACAAAGATCAATGTATACCTGTGCTTGAGGAATTCCGTGACTGAGATTCCTGGGCATTCCAGGACAAGTACATCTTTGTAGAACAAGGAATCTAGCTGTGGAAAAGTCAATCACCAGAAGTCAGTATGGAATCTTTGTGAGCTGAGATACTGAATCAGATGACACACCAGCCCAGAGGGCACATCTAGGGGGAAGAAAATCATCCTGCAGCGTAGAAGTTCCCAGACTAGAATGGCAGAACCACCCCAAGAACGTCACAAATATGGGGTATTTGTGAATAGATCTTGGTGTTTCTCTATGTTTAATGAGATTAATGATCTACATTAAAAACATAAAAACTATGAAAATAATAAAAAATGAGTAATAACAGCTTAGACTTTGCACACTAGTCTGTAGTGCATCACGGTACTTTCACCAGCCCTTGTGTTTTAAATTATATTTTATAAACACTGTGTGTGTTCATTTTCCCTTTCCCTATCCCTGAGAGATGTTTTTCTTTCTCATCAATTTGGTTCATCCATTTCAGAGTCATTAACAATTCACAGATGTGCTTTTGTAGCGAAAGAATGAAAAGGGAGCTCATTACATACTGTTTGGGTCATTTTTCCCTTCCATATTTAATAATTCCATGACAGTTTGACAGCAGAGTCTAGTTCCTATCTGTCCTCTGTGACAGCGGTTTTATCATTTAAGGTACTAAAGCCAGTCATCCAGTCACCAGTGATAATATCTTCGTGCATCAGCAATTTGTTTGCAAAATGCTGTTGTCTGGGTTACGGACAAACTTGGTAATTTTGGACTGGTCTTTGCTTCCTTCATGCTTGCTAAATTAATCTATTCATAAGTGCTTGTATTTGAATTAATTATACTTAGAGTCTGTATTCTGTGATCTATCATAATCGGTAGAATGATAAGCCTCAAAGATTTAGCATTTCTTCACTGCTTGGATATTTTGAATGATTTGTTGTTGTAGAATGGCCAGTCATTCTTATCAAAAGTCATCTTATGAGTGGAAAGAAGATTGGTCAGTGTTTTAAGGAATTGACTTAGAGTGTGGACTAAGGACTGTTCATATGATTTGACCTTTTGATACATTCTCTTTTATAATATTAGGTTTTTTTGGATTCATAATAAAATTTAGATTTCTATAGGTTTTTATTGTCAGCCAGTTGGACATTTCTGTTCATGCTGTCGTCATTCTTTGAGAGGGTCAGCTTCATGTAGCCAAGGCTTGTCCATCTCAATTTCAATCCCGGGATCAATATCTAGCATATGTGCCAAATTAACATGAACGAATGAATGGTTTCAAACATTTTCACCTGATGAAACAAAGAGGTTTTTGCCTGTTGCTTCTACTTCTAATTCTTGCCCTCCCGCAGTCCATTCTGCCCAGTCTTTGTCGATGAATATTCCTAAATTCAAAGTCCCCGTGATTGTCTGCAGGCTCCAGGTGACGGGACCCTCCTTACTGTCTTCTGTCCTCCTGCTCACTCACCCAGCCTGCTTTGCTGGATCTTTAATGCCTTTTCATTAGCATCCCCTCCACCTGGGACTCCATTCTTCCAGATCTATGCATGGTTTTTGCCCTCACCTAATTCAAATCCTTGCTCAAACCTCACCTCAGGTATCACCCTAACTAACCTATTTTTAATTACTTCTCTACTTTACTTATAATTGTCTATCTGTAGCATTTAACCTTCAAATACACTGTCTCATTTACTTATTTAGTTTCTTGTCTGTCTCCCCAGATTGGAATGAGCACAGTAGTTTTTCTGCATCTTTTTCATTTATTGTTGTGTCCATACAGAAAAAATGTATGACACCTAATAGGGGCTCAAGAACTATTTCTGAATGAATGAATACAATCTAACCCTGTGCTGTGCTTAGTCACTCAGTCATGTCCAGCTCTTTGTGACCCTTTGGACTGTAGCCCACCAGGCTCCTCCATCCACGGGGTTTCTCCAGGCAAGAACACTGGAGTGGGTTGCAATGCCTCCTCCAAAATCTAACTCTGCTGCTCTCCAGATCCTTCCGTGGGATTTTTCTCAAACACTGATTTGTTAACCTGATTATCTTTGGCCTTCCGTGATTTACTCTCCTATCTTGAGCTGCTTATGAACTTTTACATGAGCTGAATTGCTCAAGATAGCTTGTCTGTACGTGGCACATGGGGTCTATATTGGAGAGTTTCTAGAGAATTCTGTGTTCCTTTCTACTTATCTTCTAAACTCAGCTCAAATATCACTTCTGCCGTGAAGCAACTCAACTAAAATACCTTCTATTTCCTCAAAATCCAGAAGACTGCATGTTAACATGCTGAGAGCACATTTCACTTGCTATTATTATTGTTACTTATGCAAACCGTCCATCTTTCTAGAAGTCTCTTGTGTATAATGGATACTAGAGAAATATCTGTCAAATGAATTGATTGTTAAAGGTAGCAGATTGGTTGATAACTGCTGGTAGGAAAAGGAAAGTCGTTCAGTCGTGTCTGACTCTTTGCGATCCCATGGTCTATAGCCTGCCGGGTCCTCTGTCCATGCTCTGGGGAAGAGTACTGGGGTGGGTTGCCATTCGCTTCTCCAGTGGATCTTCCCGACCCATGGGTCAAACCCGGGTCTCCTGCACTGCAGATGGATTCTTGACCAACTGAGCTACTAGGGAAGCCCCAATTGCTGGTACGGGGGATGTAAATGTGTACTAATGTTTCTAAGAAATCATGAAATCAGTGTTAGTTATATATTGTGTTTTTAAAATCATATTTTACCATATACCTAATTCCAAAGTCTTTTACCTAAGAAATTTAGTTTTTTTTTTTTTTAAATTATAGTTGATTTATAATGTTAATTTCAGGTGTATAGCAAAGTGATTCAGTTATTCAGTTTTATATATATATATACTTATATATATATTTTATTATATATATATGTATACATACATATATATATATTCTTTTTCTGTTCTTTTCCATTATAGGGTATTATAAGATACTGAATATAATTCCCGTGCTGTACAGTAAGCCCTTGACACTTGTCCATTTTGTATACAGTAGTATGTATCTGTTAATCCCAAACTCCTAGCTTATCACTCCCCCACCCGACCACCATTTCCCCTTTGCTAGCCACAAGTTTGTTTTCTATGTCTGTGAGTCTGTTTCTAGTTTGCAGAGAAGTTCATTTCTGTTATTTTAAGAAATTTACACTTAATGGACCTTCTTCTAAAGGTGAACAAATAAAAATAAAGAAGTCACATCAACTTTATTTGATGATTTTCAACAT